CCCTTCTTGTCTTCGAGCAACGTTCCATCCTTCAAAAAATTAACTATTAGGTTCATCTAGCTTGGCTCGGCTTCAATGCTTAAGGCTTCATTAGTTGTGCTCAGCTGGATATTNGTTTTTTGGCCTCCCTACCTTAGCAGTAGGACGTATATAATGCAAAGTAAGTGTTGGAAAAAGAATCCTCAAACTTTTATTGATAACTTTGACTTGATACATTCGCTGCTAATATACCATCGCTTAAGGGGCACCCTAAAATTTTTCGAAGGCATTTCGGAGTTCTATTTAAAAAGGTACTTTTTAGAAATAAAAATTTCTAAGGTTCATAGTGTTCCAAGGGCACGGTACTGCCTTATGATCCAAGGTATCGAGTTCGAAATACCTGCTGCCCCCAATTTTGACTATTATATATGGACCTTCTCAGTTTGTCCATGGACTGGGTTCTTAGCTGAGCCTAATACTCGTCTGAGCACTAGGTCTCCAAGTGTGAAAGATCGAGGATTTATATTCTTGTTATAGGCTCAGGATATCTGATTCATATATGAAGTCATTCTTATGACGGCTTGCTCTCTCTTTTCCTCTACCACATCGAGCTCTCGTGTGATGACGGCATCATTAATGTTGCTTTTGACCAGCTCGATTCTTACTGTCAGTAAACCGATCTCCAATGGAATAACAGCTTCCATCCCATATGTTAGGGCAAAGAAAGTCTCTCCAGTTGAGTGTCGAGGTGTGGTTCGATACATCCACAAAACACTAAGCAGTTCTTCTACCCATCTTCCTTTGGCATCCTCCAGCCTTTTCTTGATTCAATCCAAGATTATTTCGTTAGAAATTTCTGCTTGTCCATTGCTCTGAGGGTAGGTGGGGGTGGAATAATGATTCTGAATCCTGAAATGCTGACATAAAGTTTTGAAATGATGCTATCGAACTGTGTGCCATTATCTGAAATGAGCGTATACGGGATCCCAAACCTGGTAATGATGTACTTTCAGAAAAAATTTTCTTGTATCAGTATCTCTAATGTTGGCTAGGGGCTCGACTTCCACCCACGTAGTGAAAATAATCAATTGCAACAAGAAGGTACTTCTTATTGTCTAGTGCCCGAGAAAATGGTCTAATTATGTCTAGCTCCCACTGAGCAAATGGCCACGGGCTAGCCAATGGAAGCAATTTCTGTGAAGGTTTCTCGGTATCAGAGAGAATTTTTGACATTTTTCGCACCGTCTCACGAATTGTTGAGTGTCCTTCTGCATATATGGCCACCAAAAATCTTGAGAAATGGCTCGGTGAGACAAAGATCTGCCACCAGTGTGAGTTCCACAGCTTCCTTCATGAATTTCAAATAAAAAGTCTGGGATTGTCTTTGGGTGTCCGCATTTCAAGTACGGGCCTCCAAACAAGCGTCGATAAAGCTCGAGCTTTGGTGATAGCCAGAACCTAACAACTTTCAAATGTAGCTTATGGGCTCCCTTCTTGTCTTCGAGCAACGTTCCATCCTTCAAAAAATTAACTATTAGGTTCATCTAGCTTGGCTCGGCTTCAATGCTTAAGGCTTCATTAGTTGTGCTCAGCTGGATATTGGGCTCAGGCTGTAATTTCACAGTAAGAGTCCTTTCACTCTCAATGTCAATGGCCGAGGCCAAAGAAGCTAAAGTATCAGCGTGAGAATTCTTTGTTCTTCCGATCTGCTGAATAGAATATTCAAGAATCTTGCTCAGTTCTGAATCTGCAATGATATGGTAGGCTATCATTCTTTCATCCTTTGCCGCATACTCCCCTATTATCTGATTTATCACCAATTGTGAATCAGAGAATATTTGGAGCTTTATTGCTCCCAGCTCGGCTGCCAACCTTACACCAGCTATCAAGGCTTCGTACTCTGCTTCGTTGTTTGAGGCTTCAAATTCGAGCCTGATGGCTTTCTCCAAAGTACATCCGTCTGGACTTACTAGAACAATGTCGATGCCAATACCTTTATGATTTGAGGATTCATCAACAGATAGGGTCTAACTACTACCGAGCCCTAGCTCCTAGTTGCAAGTAGTCTCTTTACTCTGTGCTTAGGGCTATTAATCGAACTGAGCTACTCGAGCTCAACTCGTTTTGGGCTCGATCGAGCTCGTTCGAATATTGTAAACAAGTCAAGTATGAACACAATTTTAGGCTCGTTTATAAACGAGCCGAGCTCGAGCTTGAATTCGAGTTGCTTGACAAGCTTGATGGAGCTTGATATTTTTTACATAGTTTTACTAATATTTTTTAGTGGTCCAATTATAGTCATCCATTCTAGATCCAATGGTGAGGACAACATATATATAAACCAGTCTAACCCTAATACCCCCTAAACCCAAATCTGAAAGGCACCGTTGTCCTTGTCCGAAGTGAAGCCTGAAGCCTCAACTCCTCCANAAATGGCCACGGACTAGCCAATGGAAGCAATTTCTGTGAAGGTTTCTCGGTATCAGAGAGAATTTTTGACATTTTTCGCACCGTCTCACGAATTGTTGAGTGTCCTTCTGCATATATGGCCACCAAAAATCCTGAGAAATGGCTCGGTGAGACAAAGATCTACCACTAGTGTGAGTTCCACAGCTTCCTTCATGAATTTCAAATAAAAAGTCTGGGATTGTCTTTGGGTGTCCGTATTTCAAGTACGGGCCTCCAAACAAGCATCGATAAAGCTCGACCTTTGGTGATAGCCAGAACCTAACAACTTTCAAACGTAGCTTATGGGCTCCCTTCTTGTCTTCGGGCAACGTTCCATCCGTCAAAAAATTTACTATCGGGTTCATCTAGCTCGGCTCGGCTTCAATGCTTAAGGCTTCATTAGTTGTGCTCAGCTGGATACTGGGCTCAGGCTGTAATTTCACAGTAAGAGTCCTTTCACTCTCAATGTCAATGGCCGAGGCCAAAGAAGCTAAAGTATCAGCGTGAGAATTCTTTGCTCTTCCGATCTGCTGAATAGAATATTCAAGAATCTTGCTCAGTTCTGAATCTGCAATGATATGGTAGGCTATCATTCTTTTATCCTTTGCCGCATACTCCCCTATTATCTGATTTACCACCAATTGTGAATCAGAGAATATTTGGAGCTTTATTGCTCCCAGCTCGGCTGCCAACCTTACACCAGCTATCAAGGCTTCGTACTCTGCTTCGTTGTTTGAGGCTTCAAATTCGAGCCTGATGGCTTTCTCCAAAGTACATCCGTCTGGACTTACTAGAACAATGTCGATGCCAATACCTTTATGATTTGAGGATTCATCAACAGATAGGGTCTAACTACTACCGAGCCCTAGCTCCTAGTTGCAAGTAGTCTCTTTACTCTGTGCTTAGGGCTATTAATCGAACTGAGCTACTCGAGCTCAACTCGTTTTGGGCTCGATCGAGCTCGTTCGAATATTGTAAACAAGTCAAGTATGAACACAATTTTAGGCTCGTTTATAAACGAGCCGAGCTCGAGCTTGAATTCGAGTTGCTTGACAAGCTTGATGGAGCTTGATATTTTTTACATAGTTTTACTAATATTTTTTAGTGGTCCAATTATAGTCATCCATTCTAGATCCAATGGTGAGGACAACATATATATAAACCAGTCTAACCCTAATACCCCCTAAACCCAAATCTGAAAGGCACCGTTGTCCTTGTCCGAAGTGAAGCCTGAAGCCTCAACTCCTCCATCTCTCGTCGTCTGCCACAAACTCACAGTGCGATTCTTCGGTGCTTGGTCCTCACGGTTTGGTCCTCTCTCGTCCATCTCTCAACCCAAGATCACAGTTTGGTCCTCACGGTCTATTCCTCATTGTCTGTTCCTCACGGTCTAGTCCTTTCTCGTCCATCTCTCAGCCCAAGATCAGGTACTTATTTTATTTTCAATAAATACTAATGTTATTCCCATGGAATACTTATGTTTGCTGTGTGAATCATGTTCTTTGTCATGGGTATTTTGAGCTAGACCCAAAATTTGAACGAGTTTCTTGATTTATGACCGCCTCTGATAATTCATTCCTTGACCACCTTGTTTAGTTGTATGCAAAAAGGTATCATCTAAGTACAATTAACTTTTGTAAAGACATATTTTTTCTGGAAGGTATGTGGATGAAATGGGTATTGAGTCGAGAGAAAGAGGTCTTCTCCACATTATCCAGCCATACTTTATTCATTTCCATGGTATGTCGATCCCATAATCAAGGATGCCTTTTAGCATCCCAGGTCTTAAATTGCTCACACAAAATCTTATGAAGAGATCAATTGATGTGAATTCAAGGGTGATTCATTACGTATAATTGTGTATTAACTTGGAAGTTGGATGAACTCAAGTGGGTTGTATGATAGTATTGGTGTAAATGTGGACAACTGATTAAGTATGTTATATTTTTCTATTTGAAAAAACTTCAATATCTTAGTTTTATTTTATATTTAATTTCAAATTTATGGTGATCCTGTGAGCAAGTTGTGATATGAAATCAACCAAGTAATTACATTTGCAGCTAAAGTAAGAGCATTTAACTATCCTTTTACATTTACTAAAAAAACCTATCCTTTTACAATCATTTAGCCAAAATTTTCTTCAATATTATATTAAAATTTCGGATTTTTTGGGTAACATATTACTTAAAAACAAAAGAATTTTGCCCTCAACTTCGATGGTGGCTGAAATGGTATGTGATATTCCCCATCCACTATACTGTACTTGCACATAAAAGGATATGTAAACACATGATGGGATAATTTAGTTTTCTAATTAATGTCCAACTGTATATTTAGAATGTCCTTCAGGCACAGGCAATTATTTACATTCTTCGGCATAATACATTATGATTAAGTTTATTGAGTCAAATGGAGTTCTAAAATTTTGTAGTTTCTTTTAATTGTGACAAATGCTACTACACTGCCCATATCAAATGTTTAAAAGAAGATTTGGTGTATAATTGGTGTGTGTTGACTTTGTTAGTAGGGGGATTTGGTAACTTTATCTCTAATTTTATCTTTGTTTTGGTCAGATGGCTTCTGATTTTGTGCCTCCTACTACTGTTAATGGTGGAAATCAAGAAGTTATCGATAATGATGCTGCTACAATCGATGCTACAATCGAAGGGCCTTCTGAAAATGAACCACTTCAAAAAAAATACAGGAGGAAGACCTCGAAATTTTGGGATGATTTGGAGACAGTATATGAAAATGGAACAAGAAAGGCAAAGTGCAACCATTGTAAAACAAGTCTTTCTTTGGGTCGAGGGGCTCCCACAACACATCTGAAAAGGCACTTAGAAACTTGTCCAATTCATCAAGCTTCTATTTCTTGCCAAAAGAAAGGACCCACTCAACAATTATTGGCTCTCTCCTCAATTGCTTCCGATGGGTCTGTAACTGTAAGTGGTGGGTTGGCAGCTTATAAGTTTGACAAGGAGAAGGTAAAAGAAATTTTAGCAAAAATGATAATAGTGCATGAGTATCCTTTTAGGATGATTGAATATGAACTGTTTGTGATGCTTCTTAAATTTTTGAACCCGCGTTTTGAGTCAGTTAAACGCTTCACCATAAAAAATGATTGCTTGAAAATATATGCGAATGAGAAAATAAAATTGAAGAGAATGTTTTCTACTGTTGAC